GCCAGGGAAGTGCTTATTCCACTGAGCCATCTCCCCAGCCCTTGAATTTTTTTTAATTTTAAAAATTTCCATCATAGGTGCAGTAATTCTTAATCCAGCTCTCTTGACTTTCAATCAGTAAAGATTCCACAAAATACCTGTAATGATGTGGTCCAGTAGGCTTTGTCTTGTGTGAGTTAATAGCTATGCTAGAAGAATGTTGTAACTCAAAGGTACTGTGTCAACCCATGCACTTGCAAGGAGAACATCAGGAAAATATCTCAGCTGGTCTGCAGGTCTCCAGTTTTCATCTGTAAGCCCATTCAAACTCTGCAGTCAGATTACTCTCTCTAGAAACTAAACATGCCCACTCACTACTCAGTATCTTTAACACATCTGTTTTGCCAACAGAAGAAACCCAAGTACCTTGCCAGGACATACTCAGCCCTCCATGTCTGAGGCCACCATCTCCCCAGACATGCTTTACAACCAAGGACAAAGACAAACAAGTGGAAGTTTATTTGTTCTCCGTTGTCTGAGATAGAGCTTAGAGAAACATTTCTGGTAATAAAACTAAGACAAGGCCAATAAGACAAGGCTGGCCAATTAAGAGCTTGAAATGTCAGGCAAAGCAATTACAATTTGAAGGCAGAATGGCTACATCAGTTTGAAGAAGCAGTCACCAAACAATATGAACTGAGCAAAAACAAACATCATGAAATATTCTTGAGAAAATAGACACAACGTTCTATTTTGCAACTACTATTTCAAATAATCAGCCTTAGTTTAGGCTGGTTTGCCTTGATCAGTTCTTGTTCTTAACTGTTACCACAGGAAGCCACACAGGAACTGTGGCAACATGGCCAAGTATGTTGTATGTGGACCCATGAGCTGAACATTTCAAGTTTAAATATTTGTTCCGCACCTTACTGCCTTGTAATTTTGCGTAAGTCACTTTGTGCCCTGTTTTCCTCATCTGTAAATTGAGGATGTTAGTATCATCTTCTCATAGGCTTGTTGTGAAGATTACATGAGGGTTATATAGCTAGAAATAGAATTAGGTCTGGCATGCTCAACACTATGTGCTTTTTAAATTAAAAATTAATATATAAAATAGTAGACTCTTAGTCTCCAACAAAAAATGAATGTGGAAAGTACCATCAGGTGTATCTCTACAAGCCAACGAGCACATAAAGACTGGGCTCAAGAAAAGGCTGGGTCAGCAGTAGTCTCAGAAGCTCCCTTGGGTGCCCAAGTTGATAAAGCTTTGACCAAGCAGGAGAATGGTTGTGTTCTGCCTGCCCAGTAATGATGATGGAAGAGACTGATTTCCCACACAGAATAACTATAAAACATCTATGGCCTGGGCTAAGCCCTGAGGTTGAGAGGCTATAATCAAGGCAATTTGTGAGAGTTCCATTAATAAGGTTTCCTAGAAGCTGCCAAAGTCCAGCTACAGTAATTATCCAGCTAGTTTGCTGAATCAGCTAATATAAACTTCCCCGGTCCCTTTGCTAATTAGCCTGCAGCCTCGCATCTCATTAATAAGCTTCCAGTTCATTTACATGTGAGGAAAAATTGTGAGTATGAGAGTTTAATAGAAACCCAAATCACCTTCAACATGTGTCTTTTTTATTAAAATATTTAACCTTTTACTACGACGCAGGACCATCTGTTGGCATTGAGCTCAGTGAAAAGACATGATGAATTCACTCTTTGCCAGGAGCGCCACAATCCCTCCTCCTTGCACCTGGCCTGTTCCTGATCAAGGAGCAAGAAGAAAAGATAGATGAACATGATTAACTCAGTGTTAGAAATTTATAGGTAGAAGAAACATATACTTTCCTGCCTTCCTTTTTTAACATAGGAAGTGAAGGGCCCAAGATGTGAACAGGATCACCTGAGGGCCAGGAGAGCTGGGGCCAGAGCTCAGCTCTCAGTCTTGCTCTGACCCAGTGCCCGTCACTGTGATGATGCACCCAGCCTACAAAGCATCTGATGACACCGGCTGATAAATAACTGCAGTCTTTACCTGACGTTGGGTGTGATGCATCTCTACTTCCATTTGTCTTCAACGAGTATAATTATCATCCATTCACCTCATTTCTAAGAACTGTTGATTTTATCTTCTTAATTAAACTTGTGTGATAAATAGAATTTTGGGCCCTGTGTCTTTGCTCTCTGATGCCTTGCCCATGGCTCTATTATATGGCAAAATGGACACTGAAGATATGACAAAAGTTACTAATTACATGACCTTAAGTGAGGAAGATTATCCATATGATCCAGGTGGGCACAGTGTAATGTTACTGAAGAAAGAAAAAGGGAAAGACAGAAGAGAAATCAGAGGTACGACAGAATAGGAAATTAGAGATTCTAAAGAGCAGAAGGCCTTAAAACCCCGTTGTTGCCTTGAAGATGAAGGTCACCTTTCAAGGAAGTGGTAGACACACTCATGCAGGCTCAAGAAATAATTTGCCAACAATTCAAACAGATTTGTGTACAGGACCCTCCTCTGTCCTGAACAGATGCCCCCCTGAGCCACCCTGTGCTGCAACTTCTGGCCCACAGTGAGATAATAGATGGGCATCCGTGCAGCCCACTAAGCTCTGCATGAATGACTGTCCTCATAGCAGCAACAGAAAATGGATACAGCCTGAATCTATTTGATTCTATCGCCACAACCACCACCTCAGTCTAACCCACCACCATCATTCTCCTGCACACTGAGCTAGACTGTGACCTCTTCTCTCTGAAGCCTGCAGGCTCATCTTCTATGAGGTCTTTAATCTACAGATACAATTGGGATTTTTCAAAACCAAGTCCTGGTCTTGTGATTCTCCCCCAAACACACACTTGTGCTTTTAAGATAGCTTAAAACTGTATAGTCTTTTCCAATGGCTCTTAGACAGATGGGATAATTTCCCTGATGCACACACCAGGGCTGTGTGGGTGGCTCCCACCCATCACTCCACCCTCAACCTGGCCACCTTCCCTCACTTCTGCTTGTTCTCTATGATCTTCTCTTTCTCCTTCTCTGTTTCACACTCCCTCCTACCCCAGGGCCCCATGGATGTCCCGCCCTGTGCAGGGAGCCTTCCTCCCTTGTCCCCTAACTCCTGTCACATGTATCCGTTGTGTTACTCCCAGTTTGAACCCTCCTTCCTCACCGCACTGCTAGTCTTCTTTCCCTCTCTGTGCTCTCGTGGTCTGTATGTTTTCAACTTCACTCTTCAAATTTGTAAGTCTGCCTTACACTCCCCACTGGGAAGTAAGCCCAATAATGCATCCTAGGGTCTTTTTATTGTGATAATCTATTTAAAACAATTATCATAAGCTTAAAAGATAAGTATCCAATATATAACAAATTAAATAGACCCTTTCATCTGTGGGTTTCCTTTTCATGATTTCAGTTATCCAAAGTGAACTACTGTCTGTAAGTGGTAAGTGGAAAATCCAAGAAATTAAGTAACTTGCAGGCTTATATGTACACTTTGTTCTTAGTAGCATGCTGAAATACTGTCCTGTTCTAACCCCCACTGGGACATCAAGCATCCTTTTATCTAGTGTACTTCCTGTGTAAGCTCCCTGCCCTAAGAAACTATCTTGGTTATCGGATCATCCATTCCACATCTGCAGTGTTTGGATGTAGAATTCAGCAACATTTCTGGTTCCCACTACCCACTGGAGTCTTGGTACATATCTCCTGCAGATATACGAGTATTCATGGTATCACATTATTAAGTGCAATGATTTGGATCCCCATCTAGAACCACAGAAGAGGAGACTCCAAAGTCATCCTGGTGGGAAGAATCTGAGAAGACTCCCTGGAAGGATTTTAGGTGACAGAGTTTTCAGGCATGTGTTTTGCACCAGCACTATGTGGCTCTTGTCTATTTACTGTCACAGTGTGCACACTGGTCTCTGCTAAAGCTCCTTGTTGCTGTTTTACTTGTTAGATAGCTTTCTTTTTCCTTCAGTAATCTATCCAGGGAACCCTGTATTTTGAGTTGTACTGTACTGAAGTACTTTTGTTCCAATAGTGGCTTCCATAAGACCTATACCCAGGCAGAGGGCAGTGCTCCATGCCTCAGTGTAAATGACATTTCTAAGTGTCACTTTCAAGTTTGTTCTTCTCTATGTAGGAAGATTTAGCAATTGCATCTCCATGGGCTGTGAGACTGTGTGAAGCTGTTGGAGTGGTCTCTATGCAGGCGCCGTGTTCCCAGCACTGCCTCTCTCTGAACACTGGGAATTCCAGGTGTTGTGCTGGCAGTGGAGTGGGGAAAGTGCATGCGTGGGCCTGTGTGTGTGTGTGTGTGTGTGTGTGTGTGTGTGTGTGTGTGTGTAAGAGAGACAGAGAGAGAGAGAGAGAGAGAGAGAGAGAGAGAGAGAGAGAGAGGCAAGCAGGCAGGCAGAGGCACTGGCACAGGCAGAGGCAGCATCCTTCGCATGCCCAAGTGCGCCTCCCTTGCTCTGGCATCAGCAGGACACCTGTGTAAATGGTGATGGTGCTTCAAAACTGGAACTCAAGAGCAAGGAGCCACTGCTTGGGTGGCTTTGGGTTTTCGCTGCTACCATCTGTAAAGGTGTGCTTCTTGGGGTGCCTAGAGGAGGGTTCTGAGTCCCGGCCACAAGATGAGGAGCCTGGGGCCATGAGAGGTAAACTGATGAGTTACTCAAGTCACACAGCTAATTAAGTAGCATATCTGTCTGTATATACAAAATAGTTAGAATAGACATACAGCTACTTTCTCTTAGTTCAATGAGATTTGTACTAATAGTGTTTAGACAAGATATCATGTCTGCATCTTATACTATGAATAACTACTATGAAGACAACAATATGCAATGTATTAATTATTGTTAACTGTCCAATAACCTGTTTTGAAACTGTCTCATTGTTATTTCTTTCTCAATAAAATTAATTAAAAATAAAATATTATATTGGGAAAAAATGTTTTTTAATTTTTTTTAAATGGAATTAGAACTCAGGTTCCCTGTGTCTCAAGATCTATTGCAATGAGTCTATGGAAGCAAACCCCTAGTGACGTCTTAAAGCAAATCATTGGAAGGCCAGTTGTGGTCAAATTAAATTCAGGAGTGGATCACCGAGGGGTCCTGGCTTGCCTGGATGGCTATCTGAATATAGCCCTAGAGCAGTTGGAAGAGTGTGTTAATGGACAGCTGAAGAATAAACATGGGGATGCATTTATCCAAGGAAACATTGTATTGTACATAAGTATACAGAAGAAAAGGGTGTGAAGACACAAAGGAAGCAATGTTTTTCATCGTTGGAATATAATTTTTATGAAATCTTTTCTATTTTTTGGTTCTTTTTTTTGTATTTTTATGGAAGGGTCTACAGGGTATTCAGGTTCTCACTACTAGATTGGACTCGGCGTGATCTGCCTGTTTACAGCCTCTCAAGAGCTGGGATTATAGGCACGTGCCACCACTCCCAGTCTTATTTTTTGGTTCTTTTGTGATGGAAGTTGTCCTACTTTCGTAATAGTTGGTGATTTTTTTTCACTGACATGTTAGTAAGATGACTGTTTAGAATTATGGATTGAACTATGAAGAGCTTTTCACATTCATAAAAAAACAAAAACTGGATCACAAAATTTGGTATCTTATTTTTAAAGCTCCTGTAAGTAAAACACCTGTTGACTTTATTTAAAAATATATACATTTAATTAGAAAAACAAGAACTCAAAAAACAACAAAGGCTCATGAGATCACAGGGTGAAAGGAACCCTGGTGTGTTGCTGATAGGAATATATAGTAGTACTACCACTATGGAAATCATCGTGAAGATTCTTCAGAAAACTGAAACTAGAAACTCCATTTGACCAGCCGTAACTCTTCTGGGTATCTTGCCACAAGAGCTAAACACAGAGAAACATGCAAATCCATGTTTATAGAAGTACAAATTAAAATAGCTAAATCTTAGAAATGGACAATGTGTCTAGCAGCAGATGAGTAGATAAAGAAAATGTGATATATTTACAATGAAGTACTACACATCCACAAAGAAGGATAAATATGGGTCATTTGTAGAAAAATGGATGCACCTTGAAACTATAGAGCTAAGTGAAACAAATAAATCTGACAAAGAAAGCTCAATATTGTAAGGTTTCTTTATATGAGAAACCCAAAGCAGAAATAATTTAAAAAGCAAAATAAAAAAACAGGTGATAGGAAACAGGGAGGTAGACTTTTGTAGATGGGAGAAGATCTGGGAATGAGGGAGAACAGCAATGAGGAGGAGAAGGGGAAAGAGAAGTGAATGAGATAGGATATTACCAGTACTATGAATGTAAACATTGTATATTGCAAGCGTGTACTAATGAAAAAGAAATGGAATTTTTAAAGAATGATTTTAGATGATGAGCAAGATTCAAGTATGTAAAGGGAAGGTGGGAAAGAGAAGAAAATTCTAAGCAAAGAGGGAATTATGAGAAAACATGGATGTAAAACGCAGTGGGGTGCATGTTGGGAATTCTGCTGGCAGCAGTAGCTACACCAATCCCACCGTAGACCTGTTTTGTCAAAGCAGGAGTCCCTGTGACTGGTGTATAATTAGACATTTGTGCATCCCAGCCAGTGAACCTGATACAACCACACAGAATTCTTGGACCCCTCCTTCCAACTTGACCTTCTCCCCAAGTGCACAAAAGAGACTCCACGTGAGGCTGACAGGGAAATACAGAGACAATGGGAAGCAGAGCTCTTCTTCGCTGTGATGGCCGACTAGGATTCTTTTCTTCCAATCAATAAGTATTTGCTGCACTCATCCCTGGGTCAGGCTTTGCAGAGAATGCAAAGCCTAAGGCTTGATTGCTGCTGTGAGAGTGACAATGATTATAATTAAAGGGATGGAATAAATATGTAAAAATAAAGAATCATATAAGGTAGCTTCTGCAGCAGGTGTTAGTGGCCTTCCTAGCCTTTGTTCTCTCCATTCTTCCTGCTAAGAGAACCCCAGGTTGTCTCAGGGATGACAGACAGTGCAATACACTGTGGAAATGTGTCCCTATCCCAGCTCTAGGGAAGAAACCGTGGCTCAAATACATGTATCACAAATTTTCCACTTCCTATTGCCAGAGAGTGTTCTAGAGTTAGGCATGTGAGTGTCTTCTAGATAGTGGATAAGAGAAAAATGTCTTAGACTATAGACTATCTCCTCTCTGCATCTTTCTTTCCATGAAAGATGCTTGTAGGCATAAACATGGTACTCGGTGCATTTTTACATTTTATTAGGCGATTACACTACAAACAAAACCCTTCATATTGAGAATGGTAAAGGTAACAGAGAAAGAGAGAAAGCCTGATTTCCCAATGACATGAGGACTCTGAGCAATAGCCCTGGTATCATTAGTACCTAGAGTGCTTGTGATGTGAGACCACTACATTTCTTCATTAGACCACTACATTTCTTCATTAGCAAAGTCATTGTAGATCTTGGGATAAAACTCATCTAACTGACTCCAAATATATGAAAGGCACAATGTCAGCAGTTTGATACCTTCAGTGGAAGGATTAAAGACAAGGGTTCAAATTCCAGCTTCCTTACTCCACCTTTGAGTAAGAAAGACAATATGCTAAGTGCACTGGAGTTAGCACAGAAGAGGATGCAATTCAATGAGGAGAGACTTGCTTTTAACATCACTGTCTAAAGTGCATGGGTGAATGGAACTTGAAGTTGAAAGAGAAAGAATGAAGTTCTGCAAATAATATGGCCAAACTGGATGTTCATAAAAACTATCAGTCTGAGAAGTAAATACCTATCTATGATGCACCAGTGTTGCAGTAGACCAAAAAGTATAGCTACGAAAGACATAGTATGTTAGCAACAAATTATGAAAGTGGAGCATCATCTTAAATAGTGAGAACCAATGGAGAACAGGGTCAAGACCACTTCAGTTGAAAAAAATGACAAAAGCAAAGAGGTACTGGTGGTCGAGGTTCATAGTGTGTTTACTTTGTTAGCTACTCATGAATTCAGGTGATCTACTATAAAAAGTTAAATCCAGAGAGCACATACACTAGGAAACACCAAATAAAACAGGTATTGTTTATTGGGAAAACATCAAGTAAGATTCCTTTATACATGTTACAGTAATAAAATTACATGTTTGTTTAAAAAATCATAACATAATTGTTAGAATGTTAGTGGAGTACAAATATGTAAACCTAACATGCTATAGTTATTAAAGAGCAATCAAAATCAAATATATTCTGTACTTGTAAATGTGATTGATATTAAATCCAATCTGCACATTCTGGTTTTCTTTTTAATTGAACATAATAACTGTACACACTTATGATAAATTTGATAAAAGCCCACAACATGTAATGATCACACTTTCATTTGCAACTCCATTTCTTCACACATTTATCATTTATTTGGGTTAGAACACTCCAATCTTCTTTCTTCCAGCTATTTTGAAATAAGGAATAAATCTTTGCAAACTACAGTCAGTCTTCTGTAATATGGGACTCTATGACTTATTTTTCCCAATTCACAACATTTTGCTATTTGCTTCCTAACCTCTCACTAGCTTCTAGTGATTGTTATTGTACTTTCTGCTTTTACAAGATCAGTTCTTCTAACTTCTACAGGTGAACAAATGATGTTTGTTCTTCAATACCTGGCTTCTTTCACTTAACATAGTATCAACCAGTCACAGCCATATTTCTGCAAATGACAGGATTTCATTCTTTTTATGGATCAGTAATAGTCTACCATGCATGAATACCATGTTGTCAGTCTACATGCTGGTAAACACTTCCGTTGTTTCCATATCTTGGCTATCATAAATAATGCTGTAAGAGCAGGAGCAGTCCTATAATGTCATTCTTATTTCCTTTCCTTGGAGTATGTGTTCAGTAGTGGAATGTTTGATCACATTGTCATTGTATTTTTAGATTTTTGAGGGATTTCCACACTATTTTCAAAACTGGCTAAACTTTCTTAGCAACAGTATTTAAAAGCTTTCCTTTGTCTTCAATCTCACCACCATTTATGATTATTGATCTTCTTGATAATGCCCATCCAAAGTTGAGATGATCTCACTGTGTTTTTAGTTTGAATTTCCTTGATGATTTGTGATATAAATTACTGTCATGTTTGCTATATTTCTTGCACCAGTTGTATTTCTTCTTTTGAGAAATGTCTATTCGAATCATGCCCACTTTTATTTGGTTATTTGTGGGTTTTAATGTTTGTTTGAGATCCTCATACACATACATTTGTCAGTTGGCTTCTCTAAGATGACTCAATTGCAAATATCCCTTCCCGTTTTTCCAGCTATCTTTTCACTCTGTTGTTTCTTTTGCTATTCAGGGGCTCCTGAGTTTGGTATAATAAGAGCTATCTATTGCTTTTTTGCCTGTTATTTTGCAACCTTATTTAAAATTCTTTGCCTATACCATTATCTTAAAATATTCCTCCTACATTTTCTTCTAGTGTGTTCACAATTTTTAGTTTTTATGCATTTGTTTTTGGTCTAGTTTAAGTTGACTTTTATATATGGTGAGATATTTGGCTCTAGTTTCATTCCTCTATGTATGGGCATCTCATTTTCCCAGCTTCATTTATTAAGGAAGCAATATTGTTTTTAAAGCATGTTCTTGACACCTTCGTTGGAAATCCATTGGCTCTAAGTAGATAGAGACATTTCTCTGTTTTCTATTTTGTGCTATTGAGCTTTACATTGTTTTTCATGTCAGTATGGTGCTGTTTGATGTTTTGGTTACTATGGATTTGTAGTGTTTTTCATTTGGTTTGTAGTGCCTCCAGCTCTGCTCTTTTTTGGGGGGCGGGGGGATTGTTTTGGCTAATCAAAGTCTTTGTTCAGAAGTGTTTTTTGTTTGTTTGGTTTGGTTTGGTTTTTTTGTTTGTTTGTTTGTTTGTTTGTTTGTTTTGCCTGGCTCAGGATGGCTTTCAGGGCAGGTCTGGTATGGCTTCAGCATCTGGGGCTTGAACCACAGCAACCTGAGATTGACTGCTCTGTTTAAGCAGTCAAATTTAAACTTTTTTTTTTTTTTCAGTAGCAGAGATTGAACTCAGGACCTTGTGCTTGCCAGGCAGTTGCTTATTCTACTGAGCTATCTCCCTAACCTGAGTCTTTGTTAATGATTTTTTTCTGACTTTTTTTCTGTTTCTATGAGTAATTTCGTTAGAATTTTTATATTAATTAATTATTAAACTCTTTTTAAGACAGGGTCTTTCTGTGCAGCTTAGGCTGGCCTTGAGCTCACTTTGTAGCCCAGGATGGTGTTGAACTCTCAACGATCCTCTTCCCTCAGCCTCC